AATGTTGTTACTGGTTATAAAGGAAATAGTTTTACCAGTTACATTGAGTACTTGCTTCCATTTCTGTTGAACCAGAGTTCACCGTGACACGACTTCAGTTTATTTGAAAGAGGAAAATTATATAAACATCTCATTTATATTTATTGCTTCTTGTTTGTTGCACTTAAACATTTCATGAAAATGAAAGTCTCTCAGCACTTTCCCTCAAAAAATATTTTTTTAAGAGTTCCTTTTAATTCAAACTGTAGCGCGTTTGGTTTTATAGGTACTCTGATAATTTATAGGAATAAGAATGAGGGCGTGTTTTTTTACGAAAGGACATAGTAATTTTGAATCTTTGAACCACGACACATTTAACGGGCACGAAACCCTTTTCACGGCGGGTCTTCAATGGCGTTAGGGTTTGAATTCATGAGGCGCTGGGTCATGACCACTAAGTTACCGCGGGTCACACAAAAATAAGAAAGTACAAAAAATACAATTTGATGAATAAATGAAATTAATGATGATTTTGATGATGATGCTTTCAAAATTATTTCTAAAAACGATGTCTAACTCATTAAAGTGAATTCTGAAGAATTTCTATCTCCATAGCAATGCGAGGGCTATCATCTTTTTGAACCTCGGTTAGTATGTAAACACAAAAATTGAAAAGTTTCTCTCACTCTTCACTCTACGCCAGTATTGTGAAAGAATGAGCACCCTCCCATTGAAAACCCACAACGCGACTGCGAACTTAATTCACGAATTTGCGAATGTGATCTCCCCACCATTGCCGTCGTGAGCAAACAAAAATAAATTATAAAACTATATAAAAAATTTTAAGTAAAAAATTGGGGAGAAGAAAGGTTTTCGATGCTGCAGGAAAGGGCACTTTTTATGCTGTTAAAAAAAAAAAAAATGCTTAGAAATTATTCAATGTGATATAGAATTTTTCTTTTAGTAAACAAACATCAACCGGTAGAGATGAGAGCCACTTGTATCAGAATATAATGATTTTAGATATTTTTTATTCAATCTTTCGCGAATGAGTAGTGACCAGCTCAAACCTCATCCCCACGAGATTTTACTTTCACCACTCAATACTCCAAATTGCTGTTGCGTACCTGGTGAAGTTCGCAAAAGAAAGAACCAACCAGCCCTCTTGTCCCCCTTGCAAAGGCGGACGCATTACTTGTTCCTTTTCTTTCCAAAATTAGCTGATTCCCCTGCCACTGTAATCTCGACCCACGGAAGATCAGTTGGTTTTTAACACGCTTTTATAAGTTTCACTTGTATGCAACGGAGTCTTTCAGTTCGTTTTTTACCCACTTTAAAAGGTCAGATTATTTCGAAATTTTGCTCACTTGTCAAGGACCGATGACAATACAATAACTTCATAATTTTGTTCCATTGTCCTAATCAGGATTAACGATTTCCCATTTTCAGATCCCTTCCCACAACTGGCGACTAATTTCAGATCCCATTTCTAGATGTGGCTACTAAAAGAAAAAATTACAACTTAGTTCAATTAACTATAAAAGGTGTTTTTTAGTTTCTTAAAACTATAATATTTTTTTTTCATTGCGTGTTTTACGCACTTTAATAGCGAATTCATTTTCTTGCAACTTCAGCTCGTTATTTTCTACTTCTTAAGCTAATTATGATGAAGGGTAAAGTTAAATTTTAACTAGGTACCTCGTAATTTTGAGCCGCAGGCAGAACAAAATGCTGTAAAATAAGATCAGTTGCAATGAAAAAAATTAAAATATTAATTCACTTCGTGTGAGATGTATCAAGTTAGTAAAATGTTCTTTAAGGAAATATACATTGTAAAATGCAAATTAAAACATGCTTTTGAATAATTTTTCTTTCTGAATTCGAATTTCGTCGCCACCCTCGCTCGGAGATTTCAGTCTAACACGGTTACAGTCATGAACTAGCTGCGGGTTTGAGTCCACTGAAGACCGAAGGGGCCGGTGTCGAGGCTCAATGTGGTAGTTAAGGGAGGGTGGAGCGAGCTCAGGTGTCATCCTCGTCACTTGATCGACGTTTAAAATGACGAGATCCATCGACAATAGCTCTCGCGTTACTTTATAGTGTGTCTTAAATAGAACTCAATCTAGCGGGGCTTGAAGACCCTTACGAAATCGTAATTTGGGGGGGGGATATTAAAGGATGCCTTTTTGTTTTCCTCAGCCACGAGATCATTTATCCGTAAGCCCGCTGAACGGCATCTAACGCGGCGACCTTCCCTTGAAAGAAATTTAAACAAAGACCTTTTTAACATACATATTTCAGTATTCGTAAAACTTTACAAAACGATGAATGTAATTGAATTCAAAATAAGGAATATATGTATTTCAAAATTTCAGTTCTTTTTCAGAATGGGCGAAATCATGTTTCCTCGAGAAGAAGACCTATTTGAAAACTAAGTACTAGCGTGATATTTCAGAATGCTACCTCCCAAAATAGGCTCTATATCAGCCAAGCGAGCGTCAATTAAAGTTCGGATCCCAAAGACATTTGGCGGCTTACAGAGATAATGAGTTGATATTCTGGGCGTTGCAACGGATGATTAGCATTTCAGTGAGCAACGCATTTGATAAGAATAATATAAGGTAAATGTAAAAAAAGGGAGAGCTTTTAACGCAAGTTGTCGAACTCATGTCATGCCTGCCACGAGTCCGTTACTTTGGCCACTGGGTAGACGGGTCGAAATTCCATTGTTGGAAGCCATTTAATCAATCATCGAAAATCAATATTTTTGCGATTTTATTGGTCATATGAAGCGGTTTATATGAAAAACAAGACTGGATTTGTAAATGATTTATGTAATTATTTCATGAAGAGTTCAAAAAAGACTCACAGAATGCACGAGAGAGAGAGAGACCTGTTAAATGTGATATGTTGTGTTCCGTGGGTAAAGCAGTGTAATCAATAACTTCAATCATTTAGTAATTTTTGTTTTTCTTCCTGGAGAAAAAAAAACACCTTCTGCAGACGATGCTCATTGATACACTTTCATTAGTTAAAATAATAATAATAATAACGGACTGGCGTTGATGACAGCTACATTTCCTCCCGTATTATTTTCAGATGAAAGACACATTAAAGCAAAACAAAGCATAAAATAAACGTCTTCAACGAAACACATGATTCCGTAACACTTTTTCACCCGAGTGTCACGCGTCTGACTCCCTGGTGGTTTATTATTATATTATCTTCGGAACGCGTGCAGAAACTGAAACGAAAGCTTAGGTTCTACTCGAAAACGACTTCTCCGTTTCGCGTCATTTCACTTCGAGCTGTAAACACTCTCAGTGTGAAAAAAGAAAAGAAAAGAAAACTTGCAGTTCGATTTCTTCCCTGCAATTCCTCTTCAGTCCAATCAAGGATGAGAATTTTTCTCACCCAATAGAGAATACTTGATTGGGAAAAGTAACCGGGTTCTGCTGCAGTTGAAAAAAAATATATAAGTAACTCAGAACGAGTTGCTATCCGGTATTCTGCCATGAATCATTATAAGAATTTGAGAAAAAGAAAAAATGATAGATAATCCTGCTGCCGTTTCGATGGGCTGAAGTGAATCAGAACAATTAAGTTCAGTAGTAAACGCAATGATTTCGAAAACTGCTTGTGCATTGAAAGAAACAATTTTTTAAGATACGAAAGCGGATCAAATATCCTTTCTGAAACATTACTTTGAAAAACCAAACCACAATGTTAATTTTATATCTAACATCTACACAATTTTTCAAATTTATTAAAAAAATTTCTGTATGATGAAAAGGAATCAATTGTAAAGTCTCGATTATGTGCTCAAATTCTTGTTCATATATTTTAAGAAAACTTTTCTTTTCCTAGCTCCTCTTTGACAAATTCAAATCAAAGGTAGTCCAAAGGAACTCTATCCAAACTACAAGGACGAAAATCGAATATTGTCCACTAAATTAATTTTCCTCGTGTTAATAAGCGTGTGGGTCTCGGAGGAGAATAACGTCCTCCCGTTGGTGTGGTGTGGTAGTTAGGAGAGGGGGTGCCAGCTCAGGTGTCGTCCGCGTCGCTTGACCATGGTTCAAAATTACGCGGACCGTCCCCAAAAGCCCTCGTGTATCTGAACAGTGGGACGTTAATATTCTCTCACTCACTCACTCGGAGGAGAACATTTAAGATGGCAATAACGTGTCTTTTACACGGAATGGCTACTTTAGCTGTGAAACTGCAACATATTCCGACTAATGAACTGCAAGCCCATGCAAAATGTCCGTTTATCTTTATATAGTAGGTCATGTAAGTAGCCTTCCCACCCATCTCAGTAGTCCGAATTTCCTTTTCTTTTTCCTTTTTTTTTTCATAAATGAAAACTTTTTTTTTACCATATGTCTAATGACTTTTTGAAGCCCTCTGCAGTACTTTTTCTTTCATGATACTTATTAAGCAGGGCATACGTAGCATTTTTTGAAAATATTGTTTCTTTTCAATGAAACTATGTTTTTGAAACTTCCACACAATGTTGATACCCTGGTTATTTCTCGAACTGATATTTTCCGCGTGGAAGCCATTTTTTTACCTGAAACTCGTTTTATCTGTGCACATAGTTTTTGCTTTTAAAATCAGAAATGTTACTAGTTTTGAGAAGAAATTAGGAGCTCAGGAGTCATCCTCGTCACTTAACCGAGGCTCAGAATTCATCACCAATACCCCTCGTGTTGCTTTGTTGTGTGACGTGAAAAAAAAACACTCTCACTCATTCATTCACAAATATTACACTCCGACCTGTTTAATACTACAGTAATTTTTTGTTACTGTAGTACTAAACAGTTTAAATTTTCAATTGTTACTAAAATATATTCATTCGGGTTCAAATACATTTTTTAAAACTTGTGGTGGTTGACACTTGATGTTAATACAGTTTTCTCAAATACTATTTCATTAATTAAATTTAAAAAAATGGAAAAATAGTAACAAACAAAAATAATAGTCCAACAGTATATATGGAAACGAAAATCGTTCGTTGTGTCCCTGTAGTGCAATGGATAGCGCGTTTAACTTCTAATTCAAAGGTAGTGGGCTCGAATCCCACGAGGGATGGCCAAATTTCTGTGAATGTGATCTTTTTTAAGACTATTTTATTAGAATAACTAAATTTAATTAATGAATAAATAAAAACAAAAAAAAAATAGTCCAACATCATATATAGAAAGGAAAATGGAAAATCGCTATAATCACTTAATATTGTGATTCTGTCATATGTATATACATATTTATATTAATTGTACTTATTTAATAAATAGTAACTAAAATATAAAAATTTTCTTTGTTGGCCTAAGTAGGAATTAACTTAAATTTTTTTACATCATTTTAGATTTTTTCTAAGCTCTGGAAACACCAAATTTCTAGAAGTTTCTATGTATTATGTTATACTCTGTTACGATAATTGGTTTCATTTTACTTTCTTGAATATTGAAAGACAAATTTTTTTTGTAACAAATTATTGCCAGCTAAAATTATTTTTTTCTATAGTCTTTAAAATTATTTTCTGACCTTTTGTTATGGATTCTTTCTCTACGCATAATATTTTTGATTATAGGATAAAATTTTCTAGAGGTAAAGTAATACACCTTTTTGTGAAGCAACTGAAACACCAGCTCAGTAATAACTAAATTTTAAAAACAAGTAATTTATTTATTAGAATAATTATTAAATTAGTTGTTGTTAAAAGTATAATTTATAAAACTCAGCAAAATAGTTACTCGCGACCCATCGAAAACATTTAATTATTCCTTCTGCACTAACGCATTAAAAGCGGGGTTTTTTCCCCATGTATACATTTTTTTACGCTTTAAATTTTCTTTTTTCGCTTGAGCTTTTTGTATAGAAAAGGACCTCAATGATGAGTGACGCTAACTGTGGGTGGCTTTTTTTATTTTGTTCTTTTTTGATTAATTGTTTACTTGGGTCGTGTTTTTTTTCCTCTTTAAGATGAGATGTTTTGGTGATAACATATTTTGATATTGAAGTTTGTCTCAAGAGTAGATTAGAATTATAAAATAAAGGTGTGGTGAAGCTTAAATTCATTTTTTGAAACCAAACACACGTCTTTTGTAATTATATATTAAACAGGCATTGTTTATTTGAACTTGTTTACGATGCTCTCTGAGAATTATCACGGGGAATAAAAGAATATTCTCTGACTGTACAACGAGCTTCCCCCCCCCCCAATAGCATTTTACTTTTTTTTCTATCAAAAAAAATTCTCAGGGCTGTTGAGTGTTCTCAAGGGATGAATGCGTGGTGCGTGAACGTTGTTCTACAACAGAACTTCGCACGATTCGAGCAGCTACCCACCCAAAACGGAAGTAACTGAAGTGAGGAAGATTTCGAATTTTAAAATAAACATGCTTTAAAGATGGCTGAGAAAGCGTTGACAGAATCTTTGCAAAATACGGCGTAGAATAATAACTTTTCTTATAAAACTCATCAACATTAAAGAAATCGTTGCCATAACGATAAAGTATTTTTTGAAGTGTTATAAAAAACTTTTTGCAATTTTTATTTCTTTCCTTTCTAATATCTTTGTCCCATTGTTCTCGGACTTTCGTCGTCCGATTTCATGCAACATTGTCTGTTCTCTTATTTATTTCTCGAATATTTTTGTTTGGATATATGAAGCCTCTGTATTCTGACGAAGACTCGAACTTCTAGCCAACCGTTAAATTTCTCAGCTATTAAATTCGTAAGACAAATGTTTTAATTTTGACTACCTTCTGAAATTTTAAATAACATCTTGTTTTAAATAACAAGGTAGAAATGTGGAAATTTATTATTGAAGAAGCGCTTTTCTAAAGTTAAAATTATGAAAGTTATTTCTCGACTAATTTATATTTGTGCATTTAATCAATATAATTTAGGGATTTCCTAACAAAAAATTACAAAAACATATAAATTCATTTTGTGTTGCTTCTATTAAAAATAAAGTTTACTACGAGGAGCACCCTCAACAGACTCCATGTGCAACAGGTCTACTGCACCTGGATCTAGAGGGGCATCACGACTCGACCGAGACAATTCCGGTCGCAATTTCGCGATAGTGACCATTCGTCGACTGCGGCCGCTTTGTACGTTCAAAAGTTTTTCCTACACACCTCTCCTTATTTCACCTCAGAATTAACGCGATGCAGAAGAAAGTAAAAATATCTTCGGCCGTCTTCTCTCTACGATGACATTAATACAAACAATCTCGAAATGCCTGCCGGTGTATTAGGTATGGACATCAGCAATTCAAAACTCATTTGACCCCTTGCCTGTCATCTGTTGACGGTAGGAAAAAATTACTTTTCTCCTGTTTAGAAATATCGTCTGAATAAGATTTAAAGTACCACGATATCCCTTAATTTTTTTTCCAAACCTATTTATGTGCTTTTCATTTGGGTATATGAGAATAATTTATTGTAGACATATATATCCGAAAATTCTGTAATTCAAAGAAAAAAAATATTTTTAATGGTTTATCTTAATATGATCCTTGTTCTGTACATAGCGTGATATAAGTCACACATTTAGTTCAGCGATGATAAACTATCGTTCAGAATGTAGCATCTAACTGAGAATAAAGATATGAATGAATCGAGAAAAGATTTTCGAAGAATTTCTATCGCGGTGTCGTGTTAAGCAAACAAAAATATTTTTATTTATTAAGTACAAAAATATGAATATTTTACAAATGAAGTTTGAGAAAAAAAACTGCCCTTGGGAGTTCCCCCCCCCCCGTACGGAATTTTTGCAGAATAATTGCTAATCTAATAACAACGGAAGGTGTCATTTGAATTCTATCATCACCAAAGTATAAAGAACATAAAAACGATTGAAGTGCTATTAAGTACCGGGTGTTTCTCAATAAATATCGGAGTTTTAACGCTTTACAGTATTTATTACATATAACTTACAAGTATAATTCATACACTGAATGAAAGAGTATTTGTGTGTGAAACAGTTTTACCTACAAGTTTACAAATGTTCAATGTGAGCCCCATTCGTCGCACGTCAAGTCGACGGGCAGGTTCCTTGTTCAGTGGTTGGGTACAGTGTAATTCTGAGGCAATTCTTGCAACAGCCGCTTCAATCCTGTGTTGTAAGTCTGGAAGATCAACTAGTAGCAGAGGAACGTACGCGCAATCCTTAATGAACCTCTATGGATACAAATCACTTGGGCGTCAGATCGGGTGAACGTGCGAGGCCCTGCGAAACAAGCTTTATCGGGAGGCCCTTTGAGGCCAATCCATTGGTTAGGTACAGTGATGTTCAACCCATCGCGTACTGAGAGATGCCAGGGCGCCATCTTGCTGCCAAATGAAGTTATCTGGTTCACTTTCTTTCAATGGAGGAAATAGACATAGTTGCAGAGCATCAAAATAGGCAGAACCAGATACAGTGGGTTCCTCAAAAATGATCATACACTTTCTGCCGAGATATGGCACAAAAAAATTCAATGGAGGGGAGTTCCGTTGCAATTCCAGCACCTCGTTCTAAGCTCCTGTAGCGCGCATTATGAGTGCTCACATGTCTACTGAGGTGAAACGTTGATTGAATACGATATAATCCATAAAATTTTTATCAGCATGCATCGATATGTCATTTGAAAATTTGGCGCGTAAACCGTAGTCTGTCGGTTTTAGAGCTTGTAGCAACTGGATAGGATAAAGACGTAGTTCCAAACGTTTGAGTAAAACTTTTCAAATAGTCGTCACTGACAGTTCTAATACACAGCTTGCGCACCGAACTGATTTCTTTGGTCTACGCAAGAAAGAGTCCGTATTAATTTTGTCCGTATTTTTTCCTTTACAAATACAACCAGTTGTTTCAAACTGATGATACCATCTACGAATGTTAGAATCGTTTGGAGGTTGACAACGAAACTTAATACGGAACGCTCATTCTACAGCAATATCAGATTCTTTCTTTGCAAATTGGAGAACACAGAACGCTTTCTATTCACTAGTCGCCATTCTTCTACTAGTACGCTGATCGGCGAGAAAGATTAGCATATGTTTCGCATGCACGCGCACACATGCCAGCAAATAAGACTGTTTCAGTTGCTCTTTCACTCGGTGTATGAGTCATACTAATATATCATAAGTAATAAATACAATAAAGTGTTAAAACTTTGATATTCTTCACCCGGTATTTCCCTAAAAAGAAAATATCTCTCCTGCGTATCACGTTTTCAAGAAAAATAAATAAAATTTCGGAAAAACTTTTTTCACGGAGGCGTTTTTTTTTAAATTTATCTTTATTTACGCAGAAAGAAATTTGAATACCGCCTTTATGCATTTCATGCATTTCAATTTAGTTTCGTTATGAAAATCGTAGAAAGTTTCAAAAAGTTATACACAACTCTGGAAGAAAAAAAGGCAAATCAAAATGCGCAATTATGTAAGCAATGACAGAGAAAATGTTTTCGTGCTAAGGAGAAAAAACGAATCATAATGCGTCCATAAAAATTAAAAGTCCAAAGGGAAAGGAAGGAGTCCATAAAGATGAAAAATAAACAACTTATTTCTATTGACCTTAAGGGGCTTTCAGATTCGCGAAACGTGACCATCTAGACGAAATCGAATTTTAGAACCAAGTATTTCCTTCCTATTGATATATTTCTGTTTATTTGTTACGCTTTCAAGCACTGGACAGTTTCATAATATGCGCGTATATAGATACTCATTTTGAAACTGAATAAATTCCATGGGTAAAAAAAGAGGCAAACATCCTATAAAGGATATGAGGCCTTATGGATGTATTTTTTTAAATAATCTGATCCAGGGGTGGGCAATTGTTTTGGCTCGCGGGCCACAGGATGGAAGCGAAAGACCGCACCTTTTTTGAAATGTTTGCATTCATTAGTTAACTTTGCATCTCAGAAAAAGTATAAATTATATTATAAAAGTCAATGAATATAAATAAAATAGTGGCAGTTTTTCCAATTTATTTATTGTGCTAATTTCATATAATCTACAGCTGCAAGCACATTTCATTTAGAATTTCGTTTTATTTAAAAACCAAGTTTTTCTTGCATGAAGACCTCAGAGGAAATGCTT